ATTGTTATCCCAACAAGTGACAAAGTTTTGTATTCTTTTTCTGTATTTTAGGGAAGGCTCTTCAGGGTGTTCAGGGTCTCACTGCTAAGAAAATAGGAATGAGACAGCTTCAAAACAGGTTAGTAGGACAGTTACAATAAATAATAGATAGCATATTGTCTTTGTACTAGTTATTCATAGTAAAAGGTGCAGATATGATATAAGTATATATGTTTATACATATATATGTATATATACAAAGTAGTTAGGATAGATGTACAGATATTTTCTCTTAGTTCAATGAGAAGAAAGATTTATACTAAGTGTTTAGACGAGATATCATATTTGCACCTTTTACTATGAATAACTATTATGAAGACAATATGCAATGTATTATTTACTGTTGACTTTTGTTAGAGGTGGGTATTCCTTTGCCATTCAAATTTTGTAGGTGCATGAATTCAGCAAAGTAACCCAACATAGTCCAGTAGTCCATAATGGTAGTGGGTTATCCATAGGACTGGCAATGTCAGAAGTCGTTGACTTGAGCCTTTTGTAGCTCAGCATATTAATATGGCTTTTATCACCTCGCTTCTACACTTTTCAGCTGGATGGTTAAGACCAAGATAGAGCAAGACCTATATAACAAAAAATGTAACTTTTGTATCTGATAAGGTCAGTCAAATCCCCTCAGGATTTAGCCTGAAACCCTGTACCGCACTTTGTAGATCTTTGTTAGTGTCAGCCATATGGATGAGTCATGGTCATTGCTTGAGAGATTTGCTGTTTCCAAGAGGCAGGATCAACTGAAGCAGGAACAGGAACTTAGTTTATAAGATTTAGTATGAGGATGAGTGTTTAGGAGAAATACTCCCAAAAGAAAATATAAGGCATGACACTGTGGGGTTTCAACAGTCCTGTGTGCAAGATAAATAAACACGTGTGTTTAAAAGGTGATGAAAGTTACATAGGCAAGTCTAATTTGCTGTGCACATGTGGATCACTGTATCCACGAATGAAGAACACATGTACAGTACTGGGATATAGCAACATCATACAGCACTTCCCTATGATGGAAGAGACTAAGGTTTAACTTGCAGTGCTGCATAAAAGAAAGAAAGCTTATTCTGAAATCCAATGAGAGCAATGCTGAGATGTAAGTATGAACCTGGCTGTGAAGCAAGGCTCACCAGCAAGAACAACTAAAGGCAATATGGTCCCTCATTTATATAGCCATTTTTTATTTAGTTTTGTCAGAGATGGGTATTCCACTACCATTTAAATATTGTAGGTGTGTGCATTCAGCAAAATATTCCAATATAGTCCAGCAGTCCATAATAGTAGTGGGTTATCCATAGGATGGGCAATGTCAGAAGTTGTTGACTTGAGGCTTTCACAGCTCAGCATATTAATATGGCCTTAGTTTTTTATACCTCATTTTTATACTTTTCTGCTGGATTGTTAAGGACCAAGATAAAGCAAGACCTATATAACAAGAAATTTATCTTCCATATCTGATCTGATAAGGTGAGTCAAGTGCCCTCAGGCTTTATCCTGTTACCCTGTACCACACTTTGCAGATCCTTTGTCAGTGTCAGCCATGTGGATGAGTCACGGCCATTGTTTGACCAATTTGCTCCTTGTGAAAGCCTGAGAGAATGTTTTCTCTCCATGTGACTCTCCTTAGGCACACTCTACATCATCAATCACATTACTCAGTGGCCCCATTACCTCCTTGATGAGAAAATTTGGGACACAACTGAGTTACATGATATTACAGTATAGGTTCTCCTATGTCCTGAGTCTTCACAGAACTTCAAAGGCTAGGGCCAAAATGTTGATTGTCCTATCAGCCTTTCTTTTTCTCTAACTTTTGGTCTGCAAACTTAGGTTGATAACCCTCAAGAAGAGAACCTTATTATTACCCTACAACATATGAAGTTGGGTTTAACCTCACTATCTGTCTGAATATCTAACATCTTAGGCATAATATGGAACAGGTATTTTCCATTTAGTATTCATATGTTAAACTTTAAGTCTCTACACAATATGGAAAAAATTAAACAAATAAAAAATATTTTAAAGAGGGCATTTCACTGACCTTCTAAGACCAAAAAGCTACAACTCTTCTTGCATAGGTCCTGCTTTACCTTGGTCTTAACCATCCAGTAGAAAAGTATGAATTCGAAATATAAAAAATAAAGCCATGCTGTTAAGTTGAGCTGTGGGGGACTCAGGTCAATAATTTCTGACATTGCCAGTTAAATATAAGACCCAATACTATTATAGGCTACTGGACTCTTTTAGAATATTTTGCTGAGTTTACACACCTATAATATTCAATAATGTAACTTAGAAATAATGGGGTATACCGATGAATGTCCATTTTGTATCTGTGTATTCAAAGAGGTTGGGATAGATATATAGTTGCATTCTCTTAATGAATAGAATGATTTGTTCTAATGGTGTTTGTGAATAGGATCACAAGTCCGCATCTTGTACAGCAATTAACCACTAAGAAGAATATATGCAGTGTATTATTTGTTGAAACTGTCCTTCCGATTTGATTTGAAACTGTCTCATTGCTATCTCTTTGTCAATAAAACTTTGAGAAAAAAAAAAAAAGATTTTCCATCACCTAAAAAAAATATATATATTTTAAAAATATGAATAAACAGGTACATATTTTTACACAGAAATTTAGAAATCTAACCATATATAGCATTGTAACAGGACAGTACTATGACTTTTTTCTTAGCTCTTTTTTTTAATTTATTACCCTTCTATTTTTTTAAACAAACATTTACTTGAGAGACAGTATGGTAATAATTAGCATTTCATGACAAGGAGTACATATTTAGAACACCAGAATGACAGGGATTCCAAGATTGAACTTTCTATTACATATTGCTATGTTCAGTGCAGTTGCTTTGTTCACCGGTATTAGCACATTTAGTTAGTCAGGGTGGGAATCCTACCAATTTAACTGCTAGTTTCAAAACTTGTTGATGTTTCTCAGGATCATTGCCTCATTGCCTTCCCCTTCTTGTACATATAAATGTAAGGCTTTGCCCCTGTCCTTTTCCCCAGATTTTCTCCTTGCCCTCTCCTTGTTGTCCAATCCTCAATTCTCATTTTCTCTTTAATTGTGTTATATCTTTCTATTTGTATTTCTTTTTTGAGTTCTTATATTAGGGAGACTATGATATTTACACATGTGAGTCTGGTTTATTTCACTTATATCTTCAAGTGGCATCCACTTAAATATAAATGCTTCAAGTTTATCATTCTTCATAGCTGAAAAAATTCTCCACATCACTAGCCATCTGTGAAATGCAAATTAAAATAACACTGAGATACCATCTCACCCCACAAAGAATGGCTATCATAAAGAAATCAACCAACAACAAATGTTGGAGAGGCTGTGGGGATAAAGGAAGCCTTCTCCACTGCTGGTGAGAATGGAGACTGGTGCAACCATTATGGAAATCAGTGTGGAGATTCCTAAAAAAAAAACTAGGACTGGAAATTCCATTCAAGCCAGTTATCCCCCTACTGGGAATTTTCCCACAGGAACTGAAAGTGTCATATCATAATTATGTATGTGCACCTATGTTTATAGCAGCACAGTTTGTGATAGCCAAATCTTGGAAACAACCAAGATGCCCCTCACCTGAGAAATGGTTGAAAAATATGTGGTATTTTTGCTCCAAATGTTTTTATCTTTGCTAGATTTTGTCTCCTTCGAAGTCCTGAAGGTTACAGAGCATCCTAGGTTTTGGTAATAAAAGAGCCAGCTTTCTGAAGTATCATGATCATCCCAAACCTGTCATGTTTTAAGTGCCCTAGATAATGCATTTAGCACTGTTTTTCAATTTCATTGGCATTCCAACATCTATGATGGTCCTTTCTATATAAATTATTTAATGATGTTGTAACATGTTCATAAAGTTTGGTTTTTCATACAAGGAAATACTTATAAAACTAAACTTAATGAGGTCAAGCAATGGCCATGAGTTATTCACATGGCTGACACTGATAAAGGATCTGCTAACTTCAGTACAGGGTTTCAGGCTAAATCCTGAGGGGATTTCACTGACCTTATCAGATACAAAAGTCACATTTCTTGTTATAGAGGTCTTGCTTTATCTTGGTCTTAACCATCCAGCAGAAAAGTATGAAAACAAAGTATAAAAAGTAAAGCCATATTAATATGCTGAACTCTAAAAGGCTCAAGTCAACAACTTCTGACATTGCCAGTCTTACAGAAAACCCACTACTATTATGGACTACTGGATTATATTGGAATATTTTGCTGAATTCTCGCTTTTACAATTTTTAAATAACAATTGAATACCCTTCTCTGACAAAAATTTAAAAAAGCAGGGATACAAATGAACGACCATTTTGTATCTGTATATTCAATATAGTTAGGACAGATATAAAGCTGCATCCTCTTAATTCAGTGAATAGAGAGATTTGTTCTAATAGTGTCTGTGGACAGGATACCATGTCTGCATCTTGTACAATGAATGGTCACTAAGACAACAATATGCAATGTATTAATTATTGAAACTGTGCTAGTAATTGTTTTGAAAATGTCTCATTGTTATTTGTTTCTCAATAAAATTATTTTTAAAAAATAAATAAACTTAATGTAAACTGCTACTGTGATCTACCCTCTTTTCTTTCTAAATTCAGTTTTCCTTATGCATGTGGAAGTTAGTAGTGATCTTGCAATCCTAAGTTATTTCCTACAGT